ACGGCCATGTAAAAATTAATACTGCAGTTATATGTAGCCTGTCTCCTTCACCTACAGTAAAGCATTTCACATGTACCATAAAAACTGTTTTTATGAATGCATTTCTGCAACACATGATAGTCACATTCATTTGGGGGAATCGGGACATGTATATAGTATCGTTTTCTACGTCTTTACAAACCCTCTCTAATTTTCTTCCTTCTCTGGTTCCCCTTTCCAATCGTTGTTTTTTTTAAAGACATTGTTTTTGCCTCTTAGGAGCACAGTTTATTTATTTATTTATTTTTTGGTACCGGGTATCGAACTCAGGCAGGTGCTTATGCCGCTGAGCTGTATCCCCAGCCCCGTTTCCAATCTATAAAAAGTCTGCCTTTTCATCTTCTACCATCTCTCCTTTATTTTACTCCTTGATTAATTTATATTTTACATTTCTCACGTAAAGGAAAACCAGGCAATATTTAACTTTCTTTGTCTTTCTCACTTGATACTATGCTCTCAAATACTATCCATTTAAAACTTCCTTAATCTCATATAAATATAGTATTACTACACTGAAATCACAGAATAAATACCTAAGCAAAACTAATTTTGAATCTTACATGTTTCTTGCATCCGTTAGTTCACGTTATCACAAGTAGACAGCAGTGACATTTTAAAAAGTTAATCTTAAAAATACTAGCAAAACTTTTAAACAAAATGGATTCTGTACACAATCGTTCCATGCAGCCTGTCTGAAACCTCCACTGAAATGTCTACTACATAAAATAAAATCTCACACTCTCAATTAAAACAAGAGGAACAGACAACTTAGAAGATGGAATGGACGAACTGGAAAGGGGAAAGCGAACACTGGGATTATTTATTACAGAGGCTATTTGGACAGCCACCTCTCAGGCTGCCCAGTGTAACAACGGCTTTAAGAAACCAGAGTTTAGGGTGAATGACAGAAGTGATTGTTGGGGATGGAAGAGGTTTTAGAGGTAAATCATTATCATCTCTGATTTGATCTGAGTCTTCATAAGTCATCACAATCAATCATCCTGTTCAGGTAGAGCTCTGATGTGTTCTTGCACATAGCTCATCCCGGGCACTGTAGTATGATGCACACAAATGTTAGACATGAAGACAGCAGGGCAAGAGAAAATCGCGCATGGTCTAAGAAGAACTCACAGGACTGAGCTGCATCCATACCACATACTCGGAGATAGCAGTGGTGTGTATTATTTCTGTCAGCTGTATATCAGACAAAGGATTTCAGCGACAAGTGTAGTGAGCTAGGCTAAGAAAATCTTTCCTTCATTTCTCAGTCTACAACAAGACATAGAGTTCTCCTCATAAAAATTGAGAAAGAGGAGCTGGGCGTGGCGGTGCATGCCTGTAATCCCAGCACTCAGGAGGCTGAGGCAGGAGGATGGTTGTGAGTTCGAGACCAGCCTGGGCTACAAAATGAGCTCAAGGCCAGCCTGAATATAATAGCAAGACCCTGCCTCAAAAAGATAAAAAAAAATTAAGATAAAATTAATAATAAAATGGCTACTTAACTCACCACAAACAGCATGCATGAAACATTTTGAAGACCCAAGGGATAAATATACCTTGGAGATACAGATATATCAGAAGTAAACTTTTAGGAGAGCAAGAAATTATAAAATTGAAACATATTAGTAACTATGGGGAACAGAATTAATTGTAATAAAGGATAAGCTACTGAATATAACAAAATAAAGACAATATTTTACACAAGAAAAAATTAGAGTAAATATGATAAAATGGGATACCATTAAAGAATTGGGCAGGAAAAATAGTGAATTTTCTTTTCATGAGTTGTATAGAAATAATAATTTATTTTAACTGAAAAATGTACTACAAAGGAAAAGGGGGCAATTTAACAATTTTAATTACAAATTATCACTGCTATTACATAATGTTGCCAACTCATAATGATAAAATATGGGGATCCTTTTACTTTTTCTATTCTTTGTAAACCATCTACAAACTGCAGTTTATCATTGCTTTTCCACAGAGGAGAGCATTTACATCATTCTGGCCCTTAACATGCCTCTTGTGGTTCATAACCCTCATGCAGTAGAGCATGGCAGTCTTTCCATTCTAATACTGCAGGCATTCGTTATTACACAGTAGTAAGCTAGACTACTTTAATGAAGGGGGCCTTCTTTCCTTTGAAGTCTTTACTGGGAAACTAAACAGGAACCACCGTGACATACAAGAAAACTTACCATGAAGTACAGCACCAACTTCTGGTAAAAGAATAGCAAACCTCTCACAGAGGTAGAATGAACTTCAAAGATAAAACTCCAGAAGGTTATAAAATTAGTGCATTTACAAATCCATTCATTTTAAATATATACTGATGTTTTACAGCGCTAGACCGATGTATAGCACTGAACATACAAGAATTGAATCTACAGAAAATCCAATGGATGAAGCTCACATTCTAGAAAATATCCAATATATTACTAGAAGGTATAAAGTATTAACAGATCAAGTGCATTATAATTTAATATTAAATGAACATTAACATTGCATTATACATTTACACATGTATAATGCAAAGTAAATGCTAGATGTGTTTGATATTATTGCACTATTTCACAACATTTACAAAAATATTTGTTTACGTTTAAGTAAAAATAACTGGAAATGCACAACAGGCTATAAGTGGGGGCATGGTGTTGGAGCAACAAAGGAAGTGCAGGGGCCCGGACGAGCAGAAGAGGATAGAGAACTTAAGGAAAATAAACAACAAAATGAGGTATTTATTAGCCAGCTGTAAAGCTCAGACTCACTTCTTCTGGAATGAACTCCTACAGTTTACCCAAATTGCTACTAGACTTACTAATATATGTGTGAATGTGCACATGCACGTTGCCTTCCTTCACTGTATATATGTGTGAATGTGCACACGCACCTTGCCTTCCTTCAGTGTATATATGTGTGAATGTGCACACGCACCTTGCCTTCCTTCAGTGTATAT